GTGATGCAGTAGAATCGTTCCAATGATGTTACGGCTTAAGCCGTAACTAACTAAAAACTTATGTCGCAACTAGTTACAACAAATCATTGGGATGATTCTACTGCATTATAAGGTCATTAGCAAGATAGCTATAAGGTCTTCAGCGATCATTAAAACCACATAGCTTATTTCGGAACCTGCCAATGGACCGGTTTATGGACCGGTCCTAAACCACGGTCCAGTCCGCGGTCCTCTGTAGAACCGGTCTTTAGAACCAAGACCGGACCGGGACGGACCGTAACATCCCTAGTTATTGTCAATTACAGATACGTATTCTAACATTATAAGAATGCAAAGTTGGTTTTCAAGCGCATAATGGCTAATCAGAAAATGGCCTAGCGCTAGTGTATAATTATCAATTCGCTTATAATATGTTACTAGCTCTCAGGCCCGGGCGTTGCCCGAGATTAGGCTTTTATTTTTTTTAAGTAAACTCAGCTTGGATCCACTTGAACCCGGTTTGGATTCACTTAAATCTAGTTTGAGTTTACTTGAACTTGGCTTAGGTTACTTACAATTATAAATTATATGGCTTGACCCAACTATTTTTACCGGGTAAGCCCTATACGTGATATATGTTCCAAAAATGTTTGTACTCTGTACTTCTTTTTGAACAGATTCGAGTCAGTTTTATATATGAACAAATCAAAAAAATAATGTAACTGGAAATAAATACACACAATCCCGTTTAAAGAAAATTATAAGGTCAGAAGAAATAATCACAGTTATCGACATTGATTCTGTATCACAATATTAAAAATTTGACTATTTGAGCTAAACTGGATACTAAAAAAAAAAATAATCATAATCATATTTTGACTGAATAATAACCAGTAATATCTAATACAATTTATTATATGGGGTGTCAGTACCTCGTTTCTAAGTAAATTTTTTTTCAGATTTTAAATTAAAATATCTCAACAACTATTAAACCAAACTTAATAATTTTTTTTTAATATAATTTTTAATTTAAAATAAAAAAAATTTATCAAGTTTGGTTAATAGTTGTCAAGATATTTTAATTTAAAGTTTTAAATTAATAATAAAAGTTTTTAGATACAAAATTGCACTATAGTGCACTGTAGTTTGATTAATAAATTTATTGTGTTGTGATTTTTATTTGATTTTTATTAACTACATATAGTAATTCAAGAATATATAAGAGAAGTCTTCACTATTAAAAAAACTTTTTTTGTGTGTACCTTATTAGAATAATAATAGTGATAGTAAAATGTAATTAATTTATCATTATTGTGTACTTTAAATTTCTATACTCTTGTGATAAACTGCATTATCTTGAATAAAATAATCTATATACTGTATAACACAGAAGTAATAGTAGCAGAGCTCAAAATTTTCAGGTAATATAACTTGCTTTTTTTTTTTAGTTAATGGAATTTAAAAACTTCTGCAATATATTTAATATTATAAAATTTCTGGCTATTTTAAAACAACACTGAAATCAACTTAACTAAATAGAACCTCTGGTATTTTACAATAGAATTTTGTACTCTAATTAGTAATTTTTGTACTAATACTTTTTTATTTTAAAAAAAGCTCTTTTATATTTGCAGTTTAGAGTTAAAATTAATTACAAAAATTCAAATCTCTTTTCAAACTGTAATAGCTATAATAATTACTTTATTTGTAATTTATAAGAGCACAACTCACATACTTGTCAGAAAAATCTAATATGTGAGGAGATTGTTTGTTGGCTTTAATAAAAAAAAAAAAGCAAGTTATATTACCTGAAAATTTTGAGCTCTGCTACTATTACCTCTGTGTTTAGTATCAGCTAAATCCCTATGAATTTTTTTAAATTGATAATTATTTATTCAAATATTAAATTGTGCTTTTATTCTTTATACGTAAAAAAAACTTATAAATACCAAATTTGAGATAATTTATCTATTGGCAACTTAGATTTCAAAAAAAATTGTTTGGCTTTTTCTCCTAGTAATTAATTATTGAATTTAAATAATGCTGTCCATCATTTAAATAATACTGTATGTGACATGATATATATTACCGTCCAAAACGCCATTATCTGGATTAATGTTAACAAATATTTGCTTATATCTTTCTCGGTCTTCATTTGGAATTACAAAATTCGCAAATCCCACATTATCAACATGGTCTCTATCTAATCGTGGAAGACACCCTTTTAATTGATATTAATAGTTAAAGTATTATAAAATTCCATTAAACTGTCAAAATAGTAATCAACTACCTGTATTTATATTGGCTAGGTTGAGATCTTGCACATTTTGTGCTTTGACGACTAATTTGATAGCAATAATGAACTCCTCCCGCGTTAGATACCCTTTATTATTGTTATCAGCAAGCGCCCATATCTAAATTATATAACATTAGAATGAAAGAGAAAAATAATTTAATATGAAAAATAGTGTGAAATTATTACCTCTCTTAAGGTTGTTTTTGGCAGTCCAGTTTTATTAAAAAAATTAACTGCGTTTTGTCCTTCAATAACACCCTTTTTATCGACATCTACTTTTTCAAAAAGTTGATGATAAATGTATAATTCTTTGGGATCTTCGAAAAATTCAAATAAAATATTAATTTCTACTATCTTTTGTATTTCTTATAGCATACACATATATACATACCAAGTGCTAAATATTGCGCCATAAAACAAGGATAATGAATGTAAACGGTAATAACACAAGTTTTTTATAATAATCGAATAAATGAATGACAAAAAGAGTAAATTTATGTTATTCAATTACTCCGATAACTCCGGTTAATACTAAGAGTCATTGCGTATTAAATGCATTATTACCATAACGCACCTATAGTATTTTGTATCTATGATTCAGGCGTAACACACTCAAAAACAAAACTTCTTGAATCTTCTTATTTTTGTGTAACATCAAAATTGCAATTGTTCAATCCTTTCTGTGTAGCGTTAATGAGCTTCTCTATTTTCCTCCGTAGAGATTAAAATTTAAGCATTACAGTAACTCATATTTTTTATCAGACCAGCTACCGCCAGTTTCATAGTGCCATCTATTTGTATAAGATTCTTAATTATAAGGAATTATTTGTTATTATACATTTTGATACGGTTATTGTTAGGGATGTTACGGTCCTACAAGGACCATGGTCCGGACCGGTCTTTTGGACCAGTCCAACCAGTTTTCGGTCCTAAATTGAGGACCGGTCTGGACCAGTTCATAGCCAATAGAATGATCTTATTGGCTAAAATATATATATAATTTATATATCTATAAATTTCCAATGTCAGCATAATCTAGTAACTTGTCGATTCGGTTATTGTAGTGATGCAGTAGAATCGTTCCAATGATGTTACGGCTTAAGCCGTAACTAACTAAAAACTTATGTCGCAACTAGTTACGACAAATCATTGGGATTATTCTACTGCATTATTAGGTCATTAGCAAGATAGCTATAAGGTCTTCAGCGATCATTAAAACCACATAGCTTATTTCGAAACCTGCCAATGGACCGGTTTATGGACCGGTCCTAGACCACGGTCCAGTCCGCGGTCCTCTGGTAGGACCGGTCTTTAGGACCAAGACCGGACCGTAACATCCCTAGTAGCATGACAGTCCAAAAGTCGCATTAAAAACCACGTTTTTAAAATTATATATATATATATCAGATATATATATACATATAGTTAGTAAAATTAGGTTATTTATACGTTATTATCTTGAAAGTAGATAATCTGCATTTATCAGTTATGTCATAAAATGATCTACAAAAACTAGCCAATCATAATGAAAGTCCGTTATGCTGCACCACTGTTATAACAGATAAGATCCGTTCTATATATTTCTATATATGCAATTATCTTTAGCTTGAACATGACTAGTAGGCAAGTGTTGGTCACTTGGATCTCCAACGATGAGTGTAAATTGTAGAAAAAAAATCGGTGTAAAAACGGACTAATATGAACTTTTCTTGTTAACAGCGATAGCGACGATACCGAGACCAAAACTGTTGTTCTTAGAACTGGTAAACTGTTTGTTAAAAATTTTTTATAACTAATTATTTGTCTTTATTATTACCATTACTGACCAATTAAAAGCTGGGTTTGATGCCCGCTTTCCCAATCAAAACCAAACCAAGCATTGCTGGCAAAATTACGTAGATTATTTTAAGTGTATAAAAGCTCGTGGTGAGGACTTTCCTCCTTGCAAGCAGTTCTTTAGAGCGTATCATAGTTTATGTCCCAACGATTATGTAAGTTGTTTATTACTTAAAAGTTCGATAATACATGTAATTTACAATGCTAATTTTAATATTTTTTAATAGATTTCAAAATGGGATACTCAGAGAGAGGAGGGAAATTTTCCTGTTAACCTTAATCCTTAGACGTTAAAAAAACTGTAAACACATTTGCAATATAACATAATATTTTAGATCAACTCAATATTATCTATCGAATTAAATTGAGAACTGCTAAGAAAAAAAAAAATTTCAATGTCCAAATAATCATTGTTATTTTTAGTTATTTGGAATGCTCTCGAGACCATCTTTTTTTATTATAGAGTTATGCTGGGCTAAAAATTAATATCCGTCGAAGGATTACTTCAATTAATTGTAATACTTGTGCACGATCCCGATAACTAGACAATCACATTGAGAGAGATCTTGAGAGCACCCTTAAGTATAGCGAAGTTGATTGAATCAAGTTTTTGACCTATCAATCCTTCGTTTTTATTTTTTGACATATTTATCATTGCATCCGTCAGTCGAATTGCTGTCTGGCCTTGATATGAAACAATTTCAATTATGTGCAATGTGTATAAAACAACTCTCAAATGACTCAAATGAACCAGTGACCCGTCCATTTCGTCATTCAATCGATCCAGAAATTGAACTTAATTTAGGTTCAATTTATAAATATAATATATATATATATTGTATATATATAGTTGTTAAATATTTGCACTATATAAAAAACAAAATTACTATATATATAATTAGATTTTAAAATTTTGCTTCTATAAAAATTATAGCACTTAAAAATTTAATTATAAAATATATCAACTTTTTTACAGGCTTTTTAATAAAGCTAATATTGTTTCGCAAAGTCATTATCAATCAGTTTTGAAAAACCTCTTGTATAAAAAAGTTAGTAATTTAAAAAATTGAAACATGTTGAGTATAGGCTTTTAGCAAAATTGCACGAAAGTTACTAGAATTTTTTTACATCAGTAATTGACTGATTTCGTAAAATCACATGACCGGTGACTTCTTGAGATATCTATTAATACCCATTATCCTTTTTATCAAGGTCATTATCGGTTGGAGTTGAAGTTTCCAATTTTGTTGACGAGCCAGAACTCGGGTCATATATCATTCTGTAATTTGCAGGAAAAAAGCTTGAGAAAAAAAATTGAAAAAATTTCTCGCGCTTTTTTTATCGCGTCAAAAATGTAAAATGTATACTTATTCTATCGTTTTAACCTTCTCACGAGAAGTGACATTTATCTTAGTCACATGCAAAGAAGTATCATTGGTTAATAATCAGATGATACTAGGACCAAAATGTTTTGGGTTATATATAACGACAACAATTTGGTCTGCAACTGTTCCCCTAACGTCACGAACGTTGTTTACGCGAAGTTGCAAATATTAGATTTCATTTTTTTACAACTGCTAAAAATTTCACTTATAATATCATTTATAAAGAACAAAACCTCATGGCTGAAACTTTAGAACAGGTTAAAGTGTCATCTGATGAACCAACTGAAACTGAGAGTAAAGCTTCAAAAACAAATAAAAAAAGAAAGCACGTAGGCGAAGCTGAAGCTGTACTTAATGATAGACCCAGGCGACAAGCACGTCCAGTTGTGCCCTATGGTTCCCAAGCCTCTGAAACAAAGTTACGTGTCAAGCCGCCTGTTAATATAGTTCAGGGTAAAGGTATCCCTCTTGGTCAAATCCCATCAATAGCTCGTGCTATCGATAAGCACAAAACATCAGACGAAACTCTTAAAAACATACATAGATTATTTTATGGTCGAGCTGGAACAAAAAATGATATCAAGTCCCATCTACGCGCTTTCTCAGGTCTTAACGCCGAATCTCCTGTCGATGCAACGGTGATCAAAGAAAAACTTGAAAGATTGAAAATGACTGCATTGAAAAATATGTGTGTTTTTTTTAACGTTAAAGTATCGGGTGATAAATCCTCAATTATCGAACGGTTAATCGAATTTATAAAGGAACCTTTCGATATCTCGAATAAAAAGGATCTAAAGGTGCACAAAGATAAAATTAAAAAATTAGAATTGAATCAAAAAGCTCGAGATATATTCTTCACCGAACAGAGGGACATATTAAAGTCGAAAGAAGAAAACAAATCTGCGACTAAAGCTCAAATTGATAAGCAGTTGTTAAGTGCTTGGAATGATATGTCGGAAAAAGATAAAGAGCCTTATTTCGCTCGTGCTAAGGATGCAAAGAATAAAAGAACTCCAACCGTCAAAAAATCTGAACCTCCTAAAAAAGTATTTATTTAACGTTTTAAACCAGATGTATATATGAACATTTATTAATTCATTTTGTTAATCTTTTAAAATTATTCAAGTCATCCGAAACTCTTGATAAAAAGAATGATGAAGATGACGAAGAAGATAGAAAGCCAAAAAAAAGAACTAGAGTCACCAAGAAAGGGTCCACAAAGGTATTTTGAAATATATATTTATATATATTTGAATTTTAGTTTTGCTAATATGAAAAATACCGAACTTTTCTACTCGTAAAGGTCGTCAAAAGTAAATTTAAATCACCAGAGACTATAGAAAGTGAAGATGATAAAACCGAAGAAGACCCAGAAGATGATAACGCAAAAGAATTGGACGATGATAGTGCAGAAAAGAAACCAGATGACAATGCAGTTGACAAAAAACCGACCAAACAAAAGGAAGTAGATAATAATAAGAGTGAATCGGATGAATTGAGTGACGTACCGGACGAGAGTGACGATGAAAAGGAAGTAGAGCCACCACGTAAGAGAACTAAGAAAAATGTTGACAAAGATTATGAAAATTAATACTGTAACGTGACAAATTGAATCATATTCTTATGTCATAAATTGTGGTATATATATGATATTTTCAAACAATAAACCAAGGGCTTTATGTTGTTAACTCTGTTAATTTGTTAACTTAATAACGATGCTCTAGAGTTGAATCGATGAATAGTATGTTTGGATATAAATAATTTCGCTAAATGAATACAGTCAAGCCTCTCTATAGTCACTCCCTTGGGGTACAAAAGAGCGTGATTAAGTGTGCTAATTATAGAGGTCAAATTTATCATATCGACATATAATTAGTTTTAAAAAAATGTGCTTATAAATAATATATGCTTATATAGGAGGTGACTATAGACTATATCCGGATATAAATATTCGAATATAAAATAATTTTATTAAATAAATATATATTTAAATATACAAATTATTTATTGATTTGATTTAATATATTTTTGATAGTTAACTAGGCAATTAATAAGATTTATATAGTTTTTGGGTTAGAATTTAATAAAAAATTTATATTGTTTTGTTTTGTTATAATATTTGAAGGTGAGGTTTAGATATAATTACTATATATAAGTATTTTTTTTTTTGGCTTTTTGATAGTTTTGTTGGAGCTCCAGTATAATAACTTTATTAAGTCAATAATGAGACATTATATAATTTAAAAAGTACTTCTGAATTGCAAGCCCAACATTATCTAGCTATAATAAACCATGCCTAAATACAATTTGTTGCACTAATTTATATATAAGTTAAAAAACTTTGTTAGCCATCTAGAGCTAATTTTTTCAATCTTTTTTTTTTTTTATCAAGAGCAAAAAAATTAATATTTTTATATTATCAATACAAAAATATATATCAAGAAAAAATAAAAAAAAAATAAACAAATAACAAAAAAGAAATTATTTAAAGAAAAATAAAGAGAAATAGTAAAATATAAAAAAAATAAAACAAAGAAAAAAGCTCTAGAATTGACAAAATTAAAAACTACTATTAAAAAATAAGTAAACAAATAAAAACAAAAAAAAAAAAGAAATATACTATTATAACCTATACTAGGCTAATAAAAATTAGCAAATTTATACAAAAAAAAGTAAAAAAAAAAAAACCAAAAAAAAAACTATTTATACAAATTGTAAAAAATATATTGAAAAATAAAACTTTATTTGTTGTCTTTTTGTATATTCTTTACTATTTAAAAAGTTTTGTTAATTAAAAAAAAACTATCTTTACTAAAATTTTTTATACAAAAATACTATTTGCTAGTTATCTTATACAGTATAATAATACTTTTGGTTTGCATACCAAATATATAAAAAAGTTTTTATTTTTATTTTTATTTTTTTTTAATGTTTTATTAGTATTTTTATTAAAAGATAAAAAAAAATACAAAACAAGTTTTACAAACTATTTATTTATATATAGCAGGTTTGGTATTACTTGATCTTTTATATAGTTAACTACTAGTGCAACTTATTGTATTACTATCTCAGAAGAAGTAGAAAATTTTGTTAGCTTTATCAAAAGCAAAACTTTTTAAATTTTTCTTTCTTTACTAAATATAAAAGTAAAATTTTTATGCTTATACATAGAAGATTTATAACAAAAAAAAATAAAGAAAATTAAGAAAAAGCAAAAAAAAATAATAAAAAAACAAAAAAAAAATAAAAATAAAAACAAGGTAATATAAAAAAAAACCTATTAGATAGAAATTCAGAATATAAAAGTTTTTGGTCTAAGTCGGAAATTTTAAAAAAGAAAGGTTTGGGTGTAGGTTTACTAGTAAGAGAAGATTAAAAAAAGCACTTAGGTAGTTTAAACAGATCTAGTAAGTACTTGCTAGAAGCTAGCTTTTATTTCAAACAATTAGAGCTTGTAGTTTTAGTGATATATCTTCTACCAAATAACAAAAGTGCAATCAAACTTATTCAGCAAAAGATAGTCAAACAGTTTTTTAACAGATCACCTGCTATACAATTTATAATAATAGGAGACTTTAATCATGTTGTTAATCCAACAATAGATACAGATAGTCAATCCATAAACAAAAATAGTAAAATTCTGCTATTATACTAGTGTTTGTAGTTGATTTTACATAGTTAATTTTTATCAACTTAGCCGGCTTAGTTAGCTGATTTTTCAAAAAATTGACTTAGTCAATTTTATATTAGATTATATTAAGTACTAATCAAATTCGATACATTACCTCTCTTAGTACATAGCACTAAAAGTAAAAGTCGAGAAAATCTAAAAAGAAAATTAACGAACATAAGGTCATGACAAAAATTTGATGAAATTACCAATAAATTCTGAAGGTAAAAAATATTTATCGACTCTGACTTAGTCAGCTAAGCCGAATTTTAAATATTAATATTACAAAGTAGGTTGTAACACAGAGAGTAATACTAGCGTAGCATAGTATAGAAAATATTATTGTATTATTTATTATA